CAACTTTCTATGAATATTATGAAAAATGTTAATAAATAGCAACAATTATTTGTTTAAACAATTTATAATAATAGTTGTTGCAAATTTAATAATATATTTTACTTTATTTATAACCTTTAAATTAATAACTTCGAAGAAAAGGTAACAAAGTTTTAAAATTCTGCTACTGTCTATGTATATTTGAAAGCGGTAAGAATTATTAATAATAAATTGTTTAAAGTTTAAACAAATAAAAAATGGACAAAATATTAATAAAATATATTATTTGGTAACATATAACAATTTCGGAATCAAACTGGATGATTCCAAATTTTTATTGCAATATACAAAGAAGAAAATATTTGACCCACCCTGGGTGGATTGTCAACCGCGTATATAAAAATCTCCTGTCCGGCAAAGGTTAATATCTATTATTCATAATAGTTTTTAAACTATTTATTGTATTTTTTGCAGTTGGTTTTTGAAAAGATGAAATTATATTTTATCAATTTTATTGCAGAAAATAGAGGAAAAGTAAGTTCCATAAAATTAATAGAAAAATTATTTATAAAGAAATTTAGTTCAATTTAAAAGAAAATTTATGTTACATTTTTTAACTGAAAGTAAAGGTTTAATCCTTTCTAAATATTCATAAAATATCTATTTTTTTAACTGAAAGTAAAGGTTTAATCCTTTCTAAATATTCATAAAATATCTATTTTCAATTTAAAGGCTTTTATTTTATTTTGTGCTGTAACGGTCTCTTTAAATACGAATGTAACACATCAAATAATAAAGGAAGTGATGGCAGTAGAATGCTTGAAAAACGTCGAAACAATTGTGGGACCTTACGATGCCGATATTAAAAGGATTTATAAACACATTTTGCCTACCATAAAATATGTGAGCAGTTGGTATCACTTTCGACAAGTATGTAATACATTATTACGAATTTGAAGTCAGAGATTCAAAATTCAATATAACAGAACCAATTTTTCAAAAATTAATTTTTTTAATCATATTCATAAACTCTAAAAAACTTCTAGCAATAACTTCTAAGAAAATTTCACCCTTCATATTTTTTGATAAACTAATTTTTTTAAAGTTACCTTTTTTTAATCTTATATTTTAGACATCTAATCTCGAACTTTGAGGTTCTTTATTCTTAAACACCTTAAAAAAACATATTTTGACAGATCATAAAGGAAATATGGGCGAGAAATTTTTTAACAAATGATTTGAATGGAATCTTTAGTGCAGCATTTGTTATTCCTTTATTTCCTGCGAATTTTTTGTTAGATGCTTATCGAGAGTTTACAAACCTAGCGGAAAAATCAGAAGAGCTCAAAGGATTTTTAAATGAAGTACTAGTAGTTATTACAAATTAGCTTCTGAAATTAGCATTGATATTGAAGATCAAAAGAAATATCTCAATGTTTTTGAAATCTGCGAAAAGCAGTTTGATGTAGTTAAAAGAAGCAAGTCACTAGGAAACTTATTCGGTAGTTATTTACTGATAATTTGTTTTATTTTAATTTAATACATAATTAACTTATAATTTTTCTTAATATAATGTGTTTAAAAAATTATATGCTTTTCACTTATAAGAGAAAAAAATTTTGTTTAAATGAAATATATAAATTTTAATTTACCTAATTTTTGGTTACTTTATAATAAAAACATTAAACTGAAATACAAATAAATTATACAATTTTTAATTACTAAAAGTAAAACAACAAAATTTTTATTATTTATCTTTTTAAAAACCTTTGCTATTTTATTTATTTAAAAAAAAATAAATTTCATTTCTATTGTCTATTTTTTAACTACAATATTTACAGAAAATCTAGAAAATTTGTTAACTGAACAACAAAAAACGAAAATTAAATCTGAGCTTTGCGCAATCTTAAAGGATACTATCCATAAATTGCAGAATGTCCCCAGGTTAGAATACTTCATGTGATATTACATTGAAGGGATATTTCTATCTCTTAAAAATATTTTAGGATGTTCTAGAGATATTTCATGAGATATACAAAGAATATCTATTTGTTTTATTGGTATAGTATGATATTCTAAATTAGTAATTGGTATTGATATTCTAAATGAAAGTATAAAAATAAGTTTGGTGAAATAAAGTAAGTTATGTATTTTTAATTTAAATTTAAATTTCATTTAATATATTAAAAATATTTACTTAAATAACAAGTTTAGGGGAGAGTGGGAGAAAACCGGGTACCTTTTTGTAATTATCGGTTTACAAAAAATCTATCAAACAAATTAGTTTAAGTCTTGTTGAAAATTCTTCATTGAACATTAGAGAATGAAAAAATAAGGCTGATGGCATTAAAAAGAATTTTTTGATCAATTTAAATCAGATTTTTCAAAAAAATGCAGTACCATCAAGAAAGAAAATATTTAAATCAAGGAATATTCTTTAACTTTTTATTCAATTATTCTTATATATAACTTACATTATAGAAAATAATTAATATTCAATAAATTTAATCAAAATATATTATTTTAATAACGAATAACAGCAGTTAAATGTTTTAAAATGAAATTTTTAATATTTTTATTAATGTTTCATCGTTTATTCATCGATATGGTAAAAAATTGATATATCGAAAGTTAAACATCGATCTCAAAATATACGTCGATTCTTAATAAAATTTAAATATGCATATTGTAATGTATTTGAATATACCCGATTTCGCCCCACCGTTTGGTAACCGGTTTTGCCTCACAATGAATTTTTTAACAAAATGTAAAATTTTCAGCTTATTGTTAATAATTTAACAATTACTTTTAAGGAAAATTACTCGTAAATAAATGCTAAAAAAGCTGCTATACTTGCCGAAACGAATATATCAATACAAAAAGTTTTATAAGTGATTTACTTTTGATAAAAAATAGATTTTTTTACCTAAAATTTAAAAGCCGCATAAAATATAATAAATAAATTTTTATATAGTGGTTATGTAATTAAAATTATATTGGTTGTAATATGTAATTGTAACCCATTACATATGTAATGGGTGACACAAATGGAAATACCTATCATGGAAATCTAGGGGTACCCGGTTTGACCCGTATAACTGGTTTTGCCCCACTCTCCTCTATATTTAAAACATTTATTTTATCATCACGAAAAAATATATCTATCTATTTTATAAAATTCGATATTAAAATTTAAAAAATAAAGCTTTAACTAATCTAAATACCTATACGTTTAAATCTTTAAAATAAATATTTTAATTTGGGTAAAAAATATGTTAGAATTGAACTAAAATAAGTTTAATTGTACAACTATTTGAATATATGTATATAGAAATTTTCCTAATACTTCATTCTCGTTTCACTTAATAATTTAGCTAAATTTCTTAGTTTACGAAAAAAATATAAAAAGTAAATACATTATAATAATAAAGTTTTAAACGAATTATAAAATAATATAATTAATAATGCAGATTGACCGCCAAAGAAGCATTTAAAATTATGCATGAGCTCCTCAAAAAACGTTACAAGCCCAAGAAACGTTAGTAAAATTTTGTTAAATTATAAATTAAATGAATAACTGTTTGTTTAAGTAACTACTAGAATATTGATATATATTTAAACTAAAGCTTAATTTTTTATATTTCAAATAATTATTACCGTTTTGATTTTTAGTTCCAACTACAATAAAGTTTCGTAAAACAAACTTTAACGTAACATCTTTAGAGAATGATGACGATGAAAATAATACAAGTGAAAAATCAAGCGCTGAAGAATCCGATGCTGAAACAATGGATTCAGATTTGGATGAAGGTGTGTGTGCTGTACTTTCTTAGAAATATTGAATATCGAATATTTGAATATCACATAATTAAATTTTTTTTTAGTTTCACCTGAATTTAGAAAAGTGATGTTTAGTCCTACATTTTTGGAGGACCACAACCTTTTAGTTGAAAAGACTAAAGAGTTTGAAGAGCCACTTGTTAAAGCAGCAGATGCTAGAAAAGCTCAAATAGAAATGGATAAAGGTTTATTGTCTCTATTCATTAATCCCCATACAGATTAACCGGTGCACACTTAAAATGATGCTCATCTTCACTTAATCAAAGTTTTTTAATTTGAACACTTTAATATCTTCTCAATATCTTTAATCTGTTTCCATTTCCATTTGAATCTAAGTACACGCTTATCTCTCTTTCTCCTCTGATTTCTTTCTACATACCCCAATTTTCTGCTCTGTAATCTCTTTCTTCTTTATTTTTATCTAAGTGTACACTTTTCTTTCTACATCTTCTTTAATTATTCTCTATCTACCCACTTTACATATATTTTAATCTCAGTCTTTTTCTATTTCAATCTAAGTAAACAATGATGATTTATCTCTATCTTTTTTCCATTCGCTTCAATCTGTTTCTATTTCCATTTTCGTCTAAATATACATTTATTTCTGTCTATCTATTATGAAGTATCTTATCTTATCCCTTTTCCCAACATTATATCTTATTTCCAATGTCTATTTTTATTTTACATTAAATCTACACTTATCTTTTTACATCTTCTTGAACATATATCCTACAGTTGTCCTAAGGATAACCAGAAATAAGAATGTTCTAAGGATATATATATATAGATATCCTAATTTCCGTATACGGCAATGGGGTAGAAAATGGGAAATAAAAAAAATGTAATAATTATAATAATATCTAATTTATACCCCTATATAAAATATAGGGGTATAAAGTGTAATAAAGATACATAGTTCTTATGCGATGTTAGTTTATAGAAAGAGATAACTTTTTGATATGCAATTATTAACTATTTAAAAGAGATGGAAAAAATTACATCTCTTTCTATCCTCATAATTAGAGTTTTTTTAATCTTTTTCTTTCGAGTCAATAACATTAAACGGATTGACTACTTTTACGTATAGATTTATACATAACAATAATTGCACCTATATGTCTTAATCAGGTTTATATTATTATTTCAGATGTCACTATAGAGGAAATTACACAACAGCCTGGTAAAATATAAAAATTATAAATATGAATAAACATTAAGATTAATTAAAAACATATTATTTTTTAAAATATTAGAAATTATCGTTTTATCAAACGAAGAAAATGATATGCAGGTTGTAATAGAAAACGATACAGAGATATACCAACTGCCTTTCGGTAACAGCATAGAGAGTAAGAAATTAAAAATCATTATTTTACGTTTTTAATAAGTTTATAATTATTAAAATAATGTAATACACATACACACTTTTTTCTTTCCCTAAATGTAGAATTTTTCGACATTGACAAATTTGAAAAAGCAATTAATGAAGACAGAGGTATACTAAAAATATACATAATTTTTAACGTAAACTGTTCAAAAATTATTTAAATTTTATGCAAACTCTTTGTGATTTTAAACAACAATCCCATGTGGAAGGATTTCCCGAAAATTTCCGGAAATCCTTCCACATAGGTTATTTCAAATGCCATAAAATTTAATTGTTTATTTTATGTTAATAACAATAATTTATAGAACTATTAGATGAAATACTGGGAGAAAAATCTGAAGACGTGGAACAAACTTTTAAAAACAGTAAGATAACAAATAATTATAGGGTAGGGAAAGACAATATAAATTGCGTTAGGATTTTGAGTCTTTAAATTTTGTTTAAAAAATATTAAAAATTAATTAGTAGGTACCCTAACAGCAACGGATACTACAGGATATCCAATAAGCGTCCTAGCCGTATTCGAAAATTAAGATATCTCCAGGATGTTCTCAGGATATCTACAAATATCTCTGGAACAATCTAAGGATATTTTAATTTTACAATATTCTTAAAATCCGGATTATGTTAGAGTATTGTTTGAACTATTACTTTGCTACAATTTCTTTTAACTTTACGATTTATCTAAATAATGTTAATTTTAATTCAATATAAATTATTTAGAAAATTTTGTATAATAAATTTATTACATAAATTAATATTAATTAACTTCTACTCTACCTTTAAATAAAAAAAAAATTTATGGTATATTCTATAATTTATTGCAGAAAAGTTAGAAGAAACATCTGAACCATTGATTTCTAAACCACCGCTTCAGGAACAATCTGAAAAATTGCATGGTAATTTTAATATTGTTTAAAACATTATTTATATATTGATATCTCCTTACTTTTATAGTAACAGACAGATTAAGGAATATCTGTTAGTTTTCCCAGGAATTCTCTTACGATATCAGTGTTAATAAATTATATTAATTCTTGCAAAACTGTTAGATCCTACAGCTGATTCACCAATTCAGTGTCCACCTTTCAAGGACCAATCGAAAGAATTAAATGGTAATATAAATATTGTTTAAGATATTATTTGTTTTTAATACCTACTGACTTAGATACTATCAGAAAGTTTGAGAAATATTCATTGGTATTATTCAAACATTTAAGCAATTGTTACATTAACATCAGAAATTATCTAACGATATCAGTGTTACTGAATTGTATTATTCTTGCAAATCTGTTAGATCTTCTAGCTATACCACCGATTCCGAACCTACCGCTCCATGGACAATCGACATGTAATTCAAATATTTTAGATGGACCAGCTGATTCACACATTCTAACTTCACCACGCAATGTACAATGGGACAGGCGAAATAGTAAATTTAATATTTTTATAATACATTACTTTCATTAGGTTCCTTTAGATACTTTCATAATGTTTTAAAAATATTGCTTCATAGTATTGACACATCTTATAGCTTATTGATTTGCCTAGAAAGTCTCTTATGAAATTAGTATTAATAAATGTTTTTTTATAAAATTGTTAGATCGACTAGGACATACGTATATGTCATATTCACAGAACTATGCTCATCCTTTTCATCTAAATCGACCGTTCCAGGAGCAACCAAGAAGACAAAATGGTAATTTAAACATTTTTTAATTCTTTATTCATACTAAGTAACTGTTGAATTAGATACTGTTAGAGTATTTAAGGAATATCGCTTGGTATTATTCAAGCGATAATGACTCTTATTGTTTTACTCTGAAAGTCTATTACGATATCAATGTTCATAAGTACTTTCTTCCAAAAAAAACTGTTAGATCGACTAACTCATCCGTACATGGCATATCAACAGCACTATTCTCAACCTTTTTATACGAATCAACAATTCCAGGAACAATCGCAGAGACCAAATCCACAGGAATATGCTCAATATTTTTTTCTAAATCAACCGTATCAAGGACATTCAACAAGAATAAATAGTAATTTAAACAATATAAAATAATGAATTAAATATAAAATCAAGGAGACAGGTTTCAGCGCCCCAAAAAACGTAGGATTAGACACCGAACTTGACTTTTTTTTTAATTTGAAACTCCAACCCCCGTGAGTAGGTGCAAGGGGGTGGTTGCGGGAAAATGGGTCGGCAAAAAAATTTTTCATGGTCATATTCGGTTTCAGCGACCCCAAAAACATAGGAATATGGGGTTGTGCTTTTTGGGACCTGACTTTTTTTTTTTTTTGTGTGCCTGTGTTATAAACTTAATAAGAGATGGCACATAAAATAAACGTTTATAATTCAATTATTGCAAATGAAATATTTAAACAATTTGTCCCCTAACCTCACATTTTCATTGCAACATATAATATCAAACAATATGTTTGAAAATTCTTTTCAATATATAATGACATTGCAGTTCGGTCAGAATTCGATATCACTTATCACAAAATTTAATAATCCCTTCATGGTAATATGGAGACGATTAAAAATCGCAGTCGCGACCTATCAATAATGCTAACTTTTTTTTAAATATAGGTTAACTATTTTACGAAAATTTTGTAATCCCTCAAAATTTAAGGAGAGTTTAAAAATCCCATTCAAAGTATAAAGAAATCAAAAGTCGGTCAGCAAAAGGGCTTTATGATGCCTCCTTGGAAACGAAGAAAATTAAAATATGTTGAGAAAAGTTAACACACATGTTAAGATGAGGCACCGAATATTTAGAGTAACATCGGTACTAAATTGTATCGCATTAACGCTTTTTGGTGGAAAGATACTGTACTAAATAGTTCGTCCCACAAGATAGAGGAGTTCATGAATAACTACGGAAATCTAAAAAATGGCGCAGTTAGTTTATCTTAAGCAGATTAACTACACTAAAAATAAGTAGCATTGTTTAAACAAAATTATGTATTTTTTAGTATTTGATGCAATAATTTCCACAACTCAATAAAATTTATTTCAAAGTCAAAAAATTTCTTGAATCTAGAAAATATTGAATTAAAAAAGTAAACTGCAGAAAATTTCCTAATACAATATTACTTTTTCCAGTGTTTATGAACATAATTTTGCAACCACTCCTAAAACAGAAAAGTATAAAAAATTTTATTAGAAGATTAAAAAAGAATATTTGGGTCAAAAGAATGAATTCGACAATTATAAGATACAGTAATCTCTTCTAGAAAAAGGAAAACTTTTTTTAAATTTGCAACTAATGGTCATAGTTCCTTCAAATACAGGTTAGCAATACAATTAATATTTAAAACTCGCTCCTAAAAAAGAAGACATTAAAAATCGCAATAAGGTTTTAAAACATAAATTCGGTCCAAAAAATGGATTCAGTCATCCTTAATTTAAATAATTTAAATAATAATATCAAATTGTGCTTTATTCAGAAATTATAGCAATCCCTCCTCAATAAAGGAGAGTTTTATAATCAGGTTCAAAGTTTAAAACAATCTGATTTCGGTCAGCGAAAGTGTTTCAGTCATAATAAACTTTAGTAATCCCTCTTCATTTATAAAGAAGATTAAAAATCAAAGTAAATTCTATAAAATTGCATAGTTTTAATTGAATTAATGTTAGTCTCATTGAGAAATTTCAGCAATACATCCTATTTAAAGGAGATGTTTAATTATCTCCATCAAAGTTTGAAGTAATCTATGTTCTGTCAAAAAAGGGTTTCAGTCATAATTAACATTATAAATTCCTCCTCGGTGATGGAGACATTTAAAATTTAAAGTCAATTTTCTATAAGAGCACAGGTTTTGTTTAAATCAAGGATAGCATCATTGATAAAATTTATCAATCCCTCCTTAATAAGGAGATTTTAAAAAAAATTTTCAAAGTTCAAAGCAATTCAAGTTCGGTAAAAAAGGGTTTTAGTCGTAATTAAAGTGATTAATTCCTCCTCGGAAATGGAGAAGTTTAAAAATTTTTTTTTTCCAAGTTGGGTCAGAAAAGGGATTCAGTCATAATAAAATTTAAAAATCCCTCCTCGTTGATGGAGAAGTTTAAAATTTGAAGTCAATTCTCTAAAATAGCACAGTCCTCAAAAAGGAGAGTGATATAATTTGTTTCAAAGTTTAAAGCAATCCAAGTTCGGGCAAAAAAGAGTTGAAGTCATATTTAACTTTAATAATTCCTCCTCGGAAATGGAGAAGTTCAAAAGTTTAAAGTAACCCAAGTTGGGTCAGAAAAGGGGTTCAGTCATAATAAAATTTATAAATTCCTCCTCGTTGATGGAGAAGTTTAAAATTTAATGTCAATTCTCTAAAATAGCACAGTTTTTATTTAAATTAAGGTAAGCCTCATTGAGAAAATTTAGCAATCTCTCCTTACTAAGGAGAGTGTTATAATTCGTTTCAAAGATTAAAGCAATCCAAGTTCGGTCAAAAAAGAGTTTAGTTATAATTAACTTTAATAATTCCTCCTCGGAAATGGAGAAGTTCAAAAATCAAAGTCTTTACTATAAAATAGCGTAGTTTCATTTGAATTTATGTTAGCCTCATTATGAAATTTTAACAATCCCTCCTAAAAAAGGAGAGTGATATAAATTGTTTCAAACTTTAAAGCAATCCAAGTTCGTTTAAAAAAGAGTTTTCGTCATAATTAACTTTAATAATTCCTCCTCGGAAATAGAGAAGTTCAAAAATCAAAGTCTTTACTATAAAATAGCGTAGTTTCATTTGAATTTATGTTAGCCTCATTATGAAATTTTAACAATCCCTCCTATAAAAGGAGAGTGATATAATTCGTTTCAAAGATTAAAGCAATCCAAGTTCGGTCAAAAAAGTGTTTCGTTATAATTAACTTTAATAATTCCTCCTCGGAAATGGAGAAGTTCAAAAGTTTAAAGTAACCAAAGTTGGGTCAGAAAAGGGATTCAGTCATAATAAAATTTAAAAATCCCTCCTCGTTGCTGGAGAAGTTTAAAATTTGATGTCAATTCTCTAAAATAGCACAGTTTTTATTTAATTTAAGGTAAGCCTCATTATGAAATTTTAACAATCCCTCCTAAAAAAGGAGAGTGATATAATTCGTTTCAAAGATTAAAGCAATCCAAGTTCGGTCAAAAAAGTGTTTATTTATAATTAACTTTAATAATTCCTCCTTGGAAATGGAGAAGTTGAAAAGTTTAAAGTAACCAAAGTTGGGTCAGAAAAGGGATTCAGTCATAATAAAATTTAAAAGTTCCTCCTCGTTGACGGAGAAGTTTAAAATTTGATATTAATTCTCAAAAATAGCACAGTTTTTATTTAAATTAAGGTAAGCCTCATTGAGAAAATTTAGCAATCTCTCCTTACTAAGGCGAGTGTTATAATTCGTTTCAAAGATTAAAGCAATTTAAGTTCGGTCAAAAAGTTTTTATTTATAATTAACTTTAATAATTCTTCTCGGAAATGGAGAAGTTCAAAAGTTTAAAGTAACCAAAGTTGGGTCAGAAAAGAGATTCAGTCATAATAAAATTTAAAAATCCCTCCTCGTTGCTGGAGAAGTTTACAATTTGATGTCAATTCTCTAAAATAGCACAGTTTTTATTTAATTTAAGGTAAGCCTCATTATGAAATTTTAACAATCCCTCCTTAGTAAGGAGAGTGTTATAATTCGTTATAAAGTTTAAAGCAATTCAAGTACGGTGAAAAAGGGTTTTAGTCGTAATTGAAGTGATTAATTCCTCCTCGGAAATGGAGAAGTTCAAAAATTTAAATTAACCAAATTTGGGTCAGAAAAGAGATTCAGTCATAATAAAATTTAAAAATCCCTCCTCGTTGCTGGAGAAGTTTAAAATTTGATGTCAATTCTCTAAAATAGCACAGTTATTATTTAAATTAAGGTAAGCCTCATTGAGAAAATTTAGCAATCTCTCCTTAGTAAGGAGAGTGTTATAATTCGTTATAAAGTTTAAAGCAATTCAAGTACGGTGAAAAAGGGTTTTAGTCGTAATTGAAGTGATTAATTCCTCCTCGGAAATGGAGAAGTTTAAAAACCAAAGTCAATTCTATAAAATAGCATAGTTTTATTTGAATTATTTTTAGCCTCATTATGAAATTTTAGCATTCCTTCCTAAATATAGGAGAAGTTTAATTATCTCCTTCAAAATTCAAGTAATAGTCAGAAAAGGGATTCAGTAATAATAAAATTTAAAAATCCCTCCTCGTTGATGGAGAAATTTAGAATTTGATGTCAATTCTCTAAAATAGAACAGTTTTTATTTAAATCAAGGTAAGCCTCATTGAGAAAATTTAGCAATCCCTCCTCAAAAAGGAGAGAGTTATAACTTGTTTCAAAGATTAAAGCAATCCAAGTTCGGTCAAAAAAAAATTTAGTTATAATTAACTTTAATAATTTCTCCTTGGAAATGGAGAAGTTCAAAAGTTTAAAGTAACCAAAGTTGGGTCAGAAAAGGCATTCAGTCATAATAAAATTTAAAAGTTCCTCCTCGTTGCTGGAGAAGTTTAAAATTTGATGTCAATTCTCTAAAATAGCACAGTTTTTATTTAATTTAAGGTAAGCCTCATTGAGAAAATTTAGCAATCTCTCCTTTATAAGGAGAGTGTTATAATTCGTTTCAAAGATTAAAGCAATCCAAGTTCGGTCAAAAAAGAGTTTAGTTATAATTAACTTTAATAATTCCTCCTCGGAAATGGAGAAGTTCAAAAATCAAAGTCTTTACTATAAAATAGCGTAGTTTCATTTGAATTTATGTTAGCCTCATTATGAAATTTTAATAATCCCTCCTAAAAAAGGAGAGTGATATAATTTGTTTAAAACTTTAAAGCAATCCAAGTTCGTTTAAAAAAGAGTTTTCGTCATAATTAACTTTAATAATTCCTCCTCGGAAATGGAGAAGTTCAAAAGTTTAAAGTAACCAAAGTTGGGTCAGAAAAGAGATTCAGTCATAATAAAGTTTAAAAATTCCTCCTCGTTCATGGAGAAGTTTAAAATTTGATGTCAATTCTCTAAAATAGCACAGTTTTTATTTAAATCAAGGTAAGCCTCATTGAGAAAATTTAGCAATCCCTCCTCAATAAGGAGAGAGTTATAATTTGTTTCAAAAATTAAAGCAATCTAAGTTCGTTTAAAAAAGAGTTTTCGTCATAATTAACTTTAATAATTCCTCCTCGGAAATGGAGAAGCTTAATAGTTTAAAGCAACCCAAGTTGGGTCAGAAAAGGGTTTCAGTCATAATAAAATTTAAAAATTCCTCCTCATTGATGGAGAAGTTTAAAATTTGATGTGAATTCTCTAAAATAGCACAGTTTTTATTAAAATATTGAATATGTGAATCGAAATTTAAGGCCTACTTTTTGAGTAGTAAAGTAGGGCTTCTTATATACATGTATATATATATATATATATATATATATATATATATATATACTGAGAGACCTTTTGCACCGTAGCCGACTTTTGACAAGCGGCTGCGGAGCATTCTGTTGGTATGCTACGAGACTATACGTTTCGGCTGCTGCGTTACATTTTTGGGGGCGTGTCTGCCAAAAAGTTGTACAGCTACAAACCAAAGGTGGCGTCCTTACAACTTCGGTGAGCTACTCACCAACATTTTGGACAGTCACGATCCCAAAATTGTACCGCCGCACACCAAAACCATTGTGGCGCTGTTGTCACTTACCTTGTTCCGCTGCAGTCCAAAAGGTCTCTCAGTGTATATATAAATAAGTGGGGGAAAAGAGGGCTTAATTATGTTCTAGGAGAAGCTAAAGTGTATCCGAATTTCCCCTCGTATAAACTTAATTATTTTTTAAGTAAAACAGTCTACAGAATTTCTGAATACAATAATCAGACTTTATTTATTTAAACGCACTTCTGTCTAACGATATTTTATTTTGCAGCACTCAAAGAAAATTTTTTATTTTCCATTTTTAATTAACAAGTTCAATTTTTAATACCAAACGATGAAAATGCAATACCAAACGTCTGTGTCAGTCAGGGATTGTAGGGAAAAAAGAAAATTTGAAAAACGATATTTTATTTAGCAGCACTCAATGAAAATTTTTTTTTTCATTTTTAATTAATTAACAATTTCGATTTTTAATACCAAACGATGCAAATGCAATACTAAACGTCTGTGTTAGTCAGGCATTGTATGGAAAAAAGAAATTTTAAAAAATGATAATTTATTTTGCAGCACTCAAAGAAAATAATTTTTTTTTAATTTTCCATTAACAAGTTCAATTTTTAATACCAAACGATGAAAATGCAATACCAAACGTCTGTGTCAGTCAGGGATTGTAGGAAAAAAAGAAATTCTGAAAAACGATAATTTATTTTGCAGCACTCAAAAAACATATTTTTTTTCATTTTTAATTAATTAACGATTTTATTTTTGAATACCAAACGATGCAAATGCAATACCAAACGTCTGTGTCTGTCAGGGATTAAAGGGCAAAAAGAAATTTTAAGAAACGATAATTTATTTTGCAGCACACAAATAAAATTTTTTATTTTCCATTTTTAATTAACTAACAATCTCAATTTTTAATACCAAACGATGAAAATGCAATACCAAACGTCTGTGTCAGCAGCACTGAAAGAAAATATTTTTTTTTCATTTTTAATTAATTAACAATTTCGATTTTTAAGACCAAACATCTGTGTCAGTCAGGGATTTTAGGGAAAAAAGAAAATTTGAAAAACGATAATTTCTTTTGCTGTACTCAAAGAAAATATTTTTTTTTTATTTTTAATTAAGAATTTTTTATATTTAATACCAAACGATGAAAATGCAATACCAAACGTCTGTGTCAGTCAGGGATTGTAGAGAAAAAAGAATATTTGAAAAACGATAATTTATTTTGCAGCACCCAAAGAAAATTTTCTTTTTTCATTTTTAATTATTTAACAATTTCGATTTTGAAGACCAAACTATAAAAATGCAAAACCAAACGTTTGTGTCAGTCAGGGATTGTAGGGAAAAAAGAAAATTTGAAAAAAGAAAAATTATTTAGCAGCACACAAAAAAAATATTTTTTTTTGTTTTTAATTAATTAACAATTTCATTTTTGAATACCAAACGATGAAAATACAATAATAAACGTCTGTGTCAGTCAGGGATTGTAGGGAAAAAAGAAAATTTGAAAAACGTTAATTTATTTAGCAGCACTCAATGAAAATTTTTTTTTTCATTTTTAATTAATTAACAATTTCGATTTTTAATACCAAACGATGCAAATGCAATACTAAACGTCTGTGTCAGTCAGGCATTGTAGGGAAAAATGAAAATTTGAAAAACGATAATTTATTTTGCAGCACTCAAAGAAAATATTTTTTTTTTTAATTTTTAATTAACAAGTTCAATTTTTAATACCAAACGATGAAAATGCAATACCAAACGTCTGTGTCCGTCAGGGATTGGAGGGCAAAAAGGAATTTTCAAAAACGATAATTTATTTTGCAGCACTCAAAGAAAATATTTTTTTTTTAAATTTTAATTAACAAGTTCAATTTTTAATACCAAACGATGAAAATGCAATACCAAACGTCTGTGTCCGTCAGGGATTGGAGGGCAAAAAGAAAATTTGAAAAACGATAATTTCTTTTGCTGTACTCAAAGAAAATATTTTTTTTTATTTTTAAATGAATAACAATTTCATTTTTGAATACCAAACGATAAAAATGCAGTACCAAACGTCTGTATCAGTCAGGGATTGTAGGAAAAAAAGAAAATTTGAAAAACGATAATTTATTTTGCAGCACTCAAAGAAAATTTTCTTTTTTCATTTTTAATTAATTAACAATTTCGATTTTGAAGACCAAACTATAAAAATGCAAAACCAAATGTTTGTTTCAGTCGGGGATTGTAGGGAAAAAAGAAAATTTGAAAAACGAAAATTTATTTTGCAGCACGCAAAAAAATTTTTTTTTTTTATTTTTAATTAATTAACAATTTCATTTTTAAATACCAAACGATGAAAATGCAATACCAAACGTCTGTGTCCGTCAGGGATTGTAGGGAAAAAAGAAAATTTGAAAAACGATAATTTCTTTTGCAGTACTCAAAGAAAATATATTTTTTTTAATTTTTAAATAATTAACAATTTCATTTTTGGATACCAAACGATGCAAATGCAATACCAAACGTCTGTGTTAGTCAGGCATTGTATGGAAAAAAGAAATTTTAAAAAATGATAATTTATTTTGCAGCACTCAAAGAAAATATTTTTTTTTTAAATTTTAATTAACAAGTTCAATTTTTAATACCAAACGATGAAAATGCAATACCAAACGTCTGTGTCCGTCAGGGATTGGAGGGCAAAAAGAAAATTTGAAAAACGATAATTTCTTTTGCTGTACTCAAAGAAAATATTTTTTTTTATTTTTAAATGAATAACAATTTCATTTTTGAATACCAAACGATAAAAATGCAGTACCAAACGTCTGTATCAGTCAGGGATTGTAGGAAAAAAAGAAAATTTGAAAAACGATAATTTATTTTGCAGCACTCAAAGAAAATTTTCTTTTTTCATTTTTAATTAATTAACAATTTCGATTTTGAAGACCAAACTATAAAAATGCAAAACCAAATGTTTGTTTCAGTCGGGGATTGTAGGGAAAAAAGAAAATTTGAAAAACGAAAATTTATTTTGCAGCACGCAAAAAAATTTTTTTTTTTTATTTTTAATTAATTAACAATTTCATTTTTAAATACCAAACGATGAAAATGCAATACCAAACGTCTGTGTCCGTCAGGGATTGTAGGGAAAAAAGAAAATTTGAAAAACGATAATTTCTTTTGCAGTACTCAAAGAAAATATATTTTTTTTAATTTTTAAATAATTAACAATTTCATTTTTGGATACCAAACGATGCAAATGCAATACCAAACGTCTGTGTTAGTCAGGCATTGTATGGAAAAAAGAAATTTTAAAAAATGATAATTTATTTTGCAGCACTCAAAGAAAATAATTTTTTTTTAATTTTCCATTAACAAGTTCAATTTTTAATACCAAACGATGAAAATGCAATACCAAACGTCTGTGTCAGTCAGGGATTGTAGGAAAAAAAGAAATTCTGAAAAACGATAATTTATTTTGCAGCACTCAAAAAAAAAATTTTTTTGTCATTTTTAATTAACAATTTTGATATTTAATACCAAACGATGAAAATGGAATACTAAACTTCTGTGTCAGTCAGGGATTGTAGGAAAAAAGGAAATTTTGAAAAACGATAATTTATTTTGCAGCACTAAAAGAAAATATTTTTTTTAAATTTTTAATTAATTAACAATTTTAATTTTTAAGGCCAAACGATAAAAATGCAATACCAAGACAATGTAATAAATACTTACCAGTTTAACAATAAAGCCACAGACTCAAACGCCAGACCAGGAGCACGCCGGTACTAATTAATTAAATTCACGCCACACTTTCACTGACGTAAGTAATTTCTTAAACTTGACAAATTAACTCTATTCGGCAATGCCGATAACATGAATTGTAAACCCTCGCTATACACTATATAAGTTTTCACATATAAATACTAATAAATTGTGGACTGCTCGTCTCGACTGTTTTCGGGGACTTGATTTTAGGAAGGCTGCAACGCTACTCTTATGGTGCCTTCCTCTCATTGTCTTCGTCAACTATTAGGCAGTCCTTGTCCTTCGTTGTGCTCCCTCGGGTAATTGCGTGAAATTACGCACTCAGGTGCGCGAATAACCAAAAATGGGTCAGTGTCAAGGCGACACACACTGACCTAAAAGGCTCATGCCGTGACTAACTAGGAACGGGGGGAGAAGGGAATATGACTTGACATTTCTTATATTATTTGACGAATCCTTCATCACAATCCCCCTCGCAAGGCCAATATTCTTTGATAATATTGCCGATTTAAATTAAATTCAAAAAAAAGTAAAAATCCGATTCAAACGAAAAGGAAATAATAAAGAAAACAATAAATGAATATAATACTTGGCTCTCAGTAATACGTTGGAAACTTTCAACAACGGAAAAACTGGCTCAGTATTGGCCTGCTGTGCCAAAATAAAATAAACAGTCCCGCGTTGCACAGCAGACCCTTGACATGCCAAACTGTTCGTCTACTCTTGACGGGAACGACGCGACTGCATAAATTGCATTGTCGCGTCCTGGACCATATCGGGTGACAAACTTAGTAGCAACCGATGCAGCTGGCACAGCTCGTCCAAGATGTTGCCGGCTGACGGGCTCGCAAAGCTTCCGCCAATCGGAGCTTTTCGCTCGACCCTTGCAGGAGTCATCTCCTCGGGCTCGTTGTCACTCGGATGTGAAACATACGAGGCTGGACGTAGAAGCCAGGGGGCGATAGCCGGGGATGTGGCTCGTGATACTTCTTCCCGGGTCAGTTGATCCTGGAGTGGGGTTGGCCGGAATACCGCTCGCTGCAACATGGGCGAGTCACGACGTTGCTCCGTCTCCGCCGCTTGTCCAAAGGGTTGGGGGAGTGCCGGCACGGCCTCGGCGCTAACTTGTCGCTCCACGTCGCATCCGCTCTCGGTAGACGCGTCCACATCGCGGGCAATCCTGCACAGCAACTTCCCTTCGTCCACAGTTGTTACAGAATTTGCCGCATGCGATATCGCAATCTCGGGTACCATGTCCTTGCCCTCAACAATTGTGGCAACATCCAGGGGGAAGGTCCATTTTTCGGTCAGTAGGGATAGGGTCGACACCACCAAACATGCGTCCTCCCTCCTTGACTTTCAAGACTCTCCTCTGACGTCGTGATTTAGGGGCCTCATAGACCACGTTGACTCCCTCCACTGTAAGCGTTGGAGGTCTCACGATCTGTACTTGCTGGCTCGGCTGTTTCAAGGGTGTAGGTGGAGGGCAGACATCTGGCAGGTCCTTGGACGTCTCAGGCTGTCGTGGCAGTGTTGGTGGTGGAGATGGCACTCCTGGTACCACGTAATCCCACGACTGAAGGGGGTTCTTGTCCCGGCGTTCTCTGGCCCTTCTCAGTTTTTCCCGCAAATCCTTCAAGGTTGCCTCCGCAGGATTTACTCCTTCGCCAACCGTCTCCTCCAGCTCGACGACCGCGCAACGACTCTGCCACTCTTCCTCACTCTCGTTGTTTCGTCTCTCGACCCTCCTTTGCTCTCGTTCCGGTTTGCCGCGCTAGTGTTCGAATCTATCTGTCTCCGGAGAGACCGATTCGTTTTTGGATAATTGGCGCTTTTTGGGGATGGCTCCAGTACTGACGGTGGGAGTGGAATTCACAACCTCCATCTCACAACCCGGCAACACCCTCGGGGACTCCTCGATTGCTGCGATTTCCGGACTTGGCAGCACGGCCAGATTCTCAGCCACTGGCAACATGACAGGATCGGGCGACTCGACAACAATCTGCTCGACCGGATCAATGGCTTCATCTGAGGCTATAGTTTCCTCGTCAAGCTCCGGACCTGCGGCGATCCACTCCTGTACACGCCTCAGACGACCAAGAAGCGCAGCCTCCTCGCGCTGCATTGGCGTCAACTCCCCGGGCAAAAATTCCTCGAGTTCTCCGATAATTCCCGGACGTGAGATTCCGGCCGCTGCTTGGCGCTCTGGCGGAGAACGACCAAAGGCTCCCCTCTGACGTGTTATGCTTCCCTTTCGCATTTTTGCGGATCGCTCTCGTGACTCCGCGGTCGCTGGCCTGACTCGATGGATTGCGGACTTCACTCGCTGTTCCCCAGATGTTGACGGGTGATGCGGCATCGGCAAACCTAAAACAAACAATTAATCAAAATACGGCACATATATCTATTTACCACGAGGGGAAATGTAGCGCTTTAGGTGCGTAATGTGCACCTTCGGAACCCATCGATTTCCCTCCGCCCTTAGATTATAAGTGTTCTCAGACAACTTTTCGCTAATCTCATAGGGACCCTCGTATTTCGGCGCAAGTTTTCCCGAAAATTTTTGTGCCACGTTGGACAACTTGTGTGTAAGCCGCCACACCTTATCACCGATGTTAAACGACACTTGTCTCCGATTACGGTTATAATAACCCGCTTGCTTTTCACGAGACAAGTCTATGAATCGCGCGACCAAATCACGCAGGGCATCCAAACGCTTCATTCTGTCAATCCACAACTCCGGATCCAACCGCTGGACCGAAGTCATGGCCTCGACCTCACCACTCAAACTCTTTACCGAAATAGGCTCCCAACCAAAATTTAAGTAGGCAGCAGACACTTTTGTCGACGACCTGACTGCGGTATTGACCGCGTGACGAAACTCGTGAACGTGCTTGTCCCAATCTCTGTGATCAGCTCCTACAAAGGTCGAGATCATCGTTTTCAAAACACGATTTGTTCTCTCGACCGGGTTAGCTTGAGGGTGGTAAGGCGGAGTGGTCAAGTGACGGACCCTATAGTCTTCGAGGGTCTTTTTGAGGATATTATTGTCAAATTCCTTCCCGTTATCGGTCAACAGGAATTTAGGAGTTTGCCACCTGAACAAGACTAATTCCCCCAATGCACGCGCGATTGCTTCTCCGTCAGCATTTCTGAGCGGTTTCACCTCGATCCACCGCGAGAACAAATCCTGGAACACCACAAGATACTTGTTCTGATTTTTGCTAGGCGGAAACTCCATGCAATCGGGGGCCACGACAACCCAAGGCTGCTCGACAATGCGATGGCCCATAAGACCCCGAGGACCCTGCTGTGACACTTTATGTCCCTGTCACTTGTCACAAGACTGGACGTACTTGTGGACATCGTACCACATACCTTGCCAGTAATACTCCGCAGCAACACGACCGTAGGTCTTCTCCACCCCCAAATGACCGGCCGTCGGGCCGTCATGAACCTCCTTAAAAACTCTTTCCCGATACTCTTCGGGCACAACCAACTTCCACCCTCGATTCGGGCCTGAAAATGCGGACACAAGTGGACAATCACGGTACCTGTACAGTTTACCTTCTTCGACTAACCATCCCGGAAAACGTTCTGGGTGGTTCTCGACTGCTTCTTTCCGCTTGAGGTACCAAAGGTCTTCGACATTTTTGAATGCAGATATCTCGATGTCCTCAAACATCCTGGACAGGGCATCGGGTACGTCGTGGTGAATTCCTTTTCGGTGACGAATCTCAAAGCTGTCATTTTCAATGAATCTCGAGTACCATCCCATCATTCCCAGGAATCTTCTCAACTGTTTGACATCACGGGCGCAGGATAGTTCAACACCGGGGCGAAACGCTCCGGGTCTGGACGCAAACCCTCACTGTCGAGGAGATAACCCAGGTAGGTCACCCTAGAACATCCGAACTCACACTTTTCTGGATTCACCACCAGTCCCGCTTTCGCCAGGAATGCCAAGACTCTCTTTAACCACCCTTTATGTTCCTCGAACGTATTCGTGACTATTATTATGTCATCCAAATATCCGAACACGACAGGCTCGAACTCAGGACCAAACAAAGAATCAATCAGGTGCTGGAATGTTATCGGTGCATTCGTGAGACCGAATGGCATCCTCTTGAACTGGAAAGTTCCAAGAGCCGGGACAGAAAACGCGGTATATTTCTTACTGGACTGAGCCATGGGCACTTGATGGTATGCTAACTTAAGGTCTATCTTCGAAATAAACCGGGCTTTTCTTAACTTATCGAGGATTGAATCTACACTAGGAATTATGTAAGTGTCCTTGATTGACACTTTATTCAAATCTCGAAAGTCAAAACATAGACGTAACGATCCATCGGACTTTTTAACTATGACGGGCGCCGTGCTCCATTCACTCCTCGCTCTTTCGATGATCCCCCCATCAAGTAACTTCTTGATTTGCTGAATCAGCCACTCCAACATCATCGGCGACATTCTACGAGGTCGATGTCGAATCGGGGTCTCATCGGTCAAGCGAATATGATGCTCTGTGCACGTCGTCATGCCGTGCTCCTGGCCCTGTGGCAAAACCAATTCATCCACAATATCTTGGATGGTCTGACGCTGACTCTTTGACAACTCGCATAACCCCGCACACTCGGCTGTTATGCTGCCTTCACGACACTGATCCAGTCTGGACGCGAATTCATGCCACTCCTGTCCACTGATTCTCCACAGTCCTTTTCCTAGTTGGACCTCCAGGTCCATTTCACGACAAAAATCGACACCAAGTATCAAATCGTGCATCAGGGAATCCACTGCTCTCAACTCAAAAGATTGTGACTGTCCATCCACCGTCACCCAAATTCTTAGTTTCCCAATGTTTTTTTAGATCCCCCAATCGCACTTTGTATGGCCGAGTCCGCTGCCATAAGTCGCTCCTTATATTTCTCGGCCAATTTCGGACCCACCACTGACACCATGGCACCTGGGTCAAACAATGCTAAGTACGGACAATCTCCAACAAAGACTTTAATGAAGAAACGGTTCTCATTGTCAGACACACTACCGTCGACTGCTTCTTCAGGACTCTGACTCTGAACTGCACCGGTTGCAGTTTCCCCCCTCCCTGTTCCATTCCTGCGAATTCACAATTCGCACCGATCGGAACACTACCGGCTGGAAACTCTGACACCGAGAGGGACACCGGGACGCACCCCAACGGACCCCCTGCCTGACTCTCAGAATGCGACGGACGAGACACCGTGATCGACTCTGCCTCACCTCTTCCCGCACTCTCAGGTTGAGGTGGCTCTGACACCACGATCGACTTTTGCTCACCCTGATCTGAACTCTCAGACTGGGGTGGGCTGGACGCATTCACAATTTCGGCATGCAACTCATTTTCGCTCAACTCACTTTCTCGCAATTGTGAGGAAGGTTCACTGGTCGCTATTGTCACTTTACAAGAGACCTCTTTTATTTGATTCGGCTTCTCCACCCTCTGTACACTCTCTTTGACCCCACTTTTCACCCCAGGACGCTCCTCGTTGATTGGATCCTCATCCCTCTCAAACGTGTACTCCTTGGGCTGAACTCGAAGAAAAATTTCTTCTGACTCTTCAGGGACATTGGTCAATGACCCGGCTATTTTGATTGGGGAGGATTGTCGGTCGATCCCCCCCCTTGGAAG